TTCTCAGGAAGCAGGACAGGGCAGGGCCGAAACGTAATCAAAGATATGGCTTCCTTGAAGTCTAGCCTCAGCCTGACCTCATAGGGAGCTCTGGAGTGTGAATGGCACTAGGAGGTATACTCCCCGACTTGAGGCAAAGTACCAGGACTTTGCACTCCCCAGCCCATCAATCACTCACCATGTGCCACCCTCAGGGAACATAACTTCTCAGGCATTTTTGGGTAATGTCATTTAGGGCAATTCTCAGGAGAAGGGGCATCTATGAGCCGTCAGCAGCCAACATTCACAGCAGCTGGCAGATGAGTGCATTGGCTTGTAAAAGGGATCTGGGCAGAACACCAACAGCATCCATGATAACAGTGGTTCTCAAAGTGTGGTTCCTGGAACAGCCACATCAGCCTCCTCTGAGAACCTGCTATAAATGCAAATTCCCTTGGGGCTGGCCCCATGGCCTAGTGGCTAAGTTCAGTGCACTTGGGTTCCGTTCCTGGGCATGGATTTGTACCACTCGTTGGCAGCCATGTTGTGGTGGCAACCCACATATAAAATAGAGGAAGATTGGCAACAGATGTTAGCTCAGGGCAAATCTTCCCCAGATCTATTGAATAAGAAACTCTGGGGATGGGACCCATGAATTTGCATTTTCATAAGCCCTCCAGGTGATTCTGATGCATGCCAAAGTTTGAGAACCACTGTACCATAGGGATCTGTGCCTAGAAACTAAAACAAAAGGATGGAGGGAAAAAAAAAACAGAAAAATAAGGCAGATACAGAACATTTGTTTTAAGGGAAATTACACAAAGAACACATCAAGAACTGAGACCCATAGTTCTCTCTCAAAAAGACAAAAAGAGCTCAAAGGAAAGATACAAAGATTTAAAGAAAAAATGACACAAGATGAACAGTAAACTGGCAGAGCTAAGAAAAGAAATGGAAGAGAAAAATAAAACAGTTTCAGAGGTGAAAGCCACAAGAAACAAAGGATGATGATTATGATGCTAACTGTAGCAGTCAAATGCTCAATTAGGAAAACCGAAATCACTCTACATATTTAAAGCAGAGAGGGAAGTAATGCAGGTAATCTGATACAAAGTGTTGGAAAGGCTGGGAAAACAAAAAGGAGATGGCTGTAACCCAGAGCCGGAGCCCGTGAGCTACACTCACTGTTGACCAGTGGAGGCACCATGACTGCCTCTGAACCAAAACCACCCTGTCACCATGGCTGGTAGTACCAAAGCTGCTACAGTGTGCAGTCACCTGCAAGCCTACAGCCAGAAGTGGCAAAAATGGCTTCTCCCTTGCACCCACCTTCCCAGCTCCCACCAGTGCTTCCCATTGGCAGAAGCCAACCAAAAAGCAGCTGACAAGGGAGTCTGGGAAATGCAGTTTTCAGGCTTCCAGCTCCCTGAAATCCAGGCGTAGGAAGAGTGGGAATGGGTGAGAACCAACAAACTATATCTGACACAATAATAAACCCAATTTAAGAAGAATCAGGATCAGAGAGCTTGAGAAAATCACAAAACGGAATCGAAAAGAACAAAGTTTAAAAAAATAATTATAGAGAAGATAATAATTATGGAAGAAAAGGAGATAAAGCATAGGACAAAGGCAGCAGAAAACACATTCAAGGCAATGTCCCTGAAATTAAAAAGAATTAAATCTTGGGATCCAAAGAGATATTGTGTTTGCCTTAGTCCATTTGGACTACCTTAACAAAAATTACCCTAGACCAAGTGGCTTATAGACAACGGAAATTTATTGCTCACAGTTCTGGAGGCTGAAAGTCCAAGGTCAGGGGGCCAGCGAGGCTGGGCGGAGGCCTCTTCCAGGTCACAGATATCTTGTATCCTCCCGTGGCACAGAGGAGCAAGCTAGCTCTCTGGGGCCCTTTTGTAAGAGCACCAGTCCCATTCACGAGGGCTCTACTCGCATGACCTGATGGCCTCCCACAGGCCCACCTCCTGATACCATCACGCTGGGCTTCAGTATTTAGAATTGAATTTTGAACGTGAACTTTGAGGGGAGACAAACAATCAGACCATAATATTCCAGGAAATTTTGATAGAGAATAATCAACACTGGACTATGTCTTGGTGAAGTCACTGAACTTCAAGTAGAAAGAAAGAATCTGACGGGTTTCCAGGCAGAATACAAGCAATTCAAGGGTCAGGGGAAATAAATTAGGCCAGCCTCAGACTTCTCTCATAACCAGTACATGACAGTGGAGCAACGTCCACAAATGTCTCAGGTAAAGAGCCTGAAACAGAAGAATCTAGAACCCAGCCAGGCATCCCTCAGGCTTGGAGACAACAGACTGGCAGTTGCAAGTGTGTAAGACCAGGGAATTCACGATCAACGTGCCCTTCTTGAAACGATGTCATCTACGTGGCAGATTAGGTATCCTGGAATCCTTCCTCAACCAAACCCCTAACGGTGCTGGATAAAATATTCTAACACACCCTTTTAAATGAATGACTCAGTTTTCCAGAAATAAAATAGGCTGTGGCCAAGAGCAAATGGAGAGCCCACTCTAGAGAGGTGAACCAGCATTAAAGTCGGGGGGTGGCTGGGGGGCGCGTGCCAACTCCTAATAGTCCAAGCTTGGGTTTCTGGGCCTCGGCCTAGGAAGGCAGATGTCTTGCATCTGCTAGCTCAGAGCCCCCACGTAAAGCCAGGTACCACAAAGGGCATCATTGTCAGAGAACAGGTGAACTAGGGGAGAAACCTCCCCATTGAAAGCAGACAGACATGTTGTGATGAAGTATTTCCTTCAAATCAGTTGATGTTCTGAATGCCAACTATACTTGGAGCTGGACAGGACCCATTAACAAGATTTTTTTACTTACCAGTACCCTACAATGTTGGCCAAGCAGAGTGGGTTCATTCTTGGTATGCAGACCCAGAGAAGTCACTTTCAAAGAGAAAAGCCCTTTCTCCTCAAAAAACTAAAAATAGAAATACCGTATGACCCAGCTATCCCACTACTGGGTATCTATCCAAACAACTTGAAATCAACAATCCAAAGTGACCTGTGTACCACTATGTTCCTCGCAGCACTATTCACAATAGCCAAGACACGGACGCAACCCAAGTGACCATGGACCAACGGTTGGATAAAGATGTGGTGTATACATATACAATGGAATACTACTCAGCCATAAAAAAGACAAAATCATCCCATTTGCAACAACATGGATGGACCTGGAGGGTATTATACTAAGCAAAATAAGCCAGGCTGGGAAAAAACACCAGATGATTTCACTCATATGTGGAAGATAAACAAACATAGGACAAAGAGAACAGTTCAGTGGTTCCCAAGGGAAGGGGGGAGAGGGGTGGGCACAGGGGGTGAAGGGGAGCAGTTATACGGTGACAGACAAGAAACAATGTACACCTGAAACTTCACAATGATGTAAACTATTATGAACTCAATAAAAAAAAAAAAAAAAGCCCTTTCTCTTTCATGAATTAGAACTGGGTCCAAACCTCTTGCAGTCCCCTTCGCGTGCTCTTTTTCCCACCTTTGCCGTGTAGTTTTCTCCACTCGCCCTTCTCCCTTCCAATGTTCTCCAGGTTCCCATCCCAAATTATGGAAGGACTGGGCATCCTTGAAGACCAGGCCCAACGCCACCACCTTCATAAAGCTTTCCCAGATCCGCCCAGCTCAGAGGGACTGCTCCCTCCTCTGTGCTCTCGGAGCATTTAGTCTTCACACCGGCTCTAACCCATCACATTCCGCCCTGAATTACGGTCATTGCAGTGTGAGTCTGGTCCCCCAGGAGGTTAAGCTGCTGGAGGATAAGAGCTGGACCTTGTCCATCTTTGTGTCATTCAGCATCCAGAAAATAACCAGTGCTTAATTAATCTCTGAAGCATTACATTGAAGAGAAATAAACTGAAATGCCTGGGGTCTATTTCATCGTTCTGCAAACTCCTCCGTTCAGCGACTATGATTTGTTGAAAATGGGAGCTTTCTGTGCATTTACAGACACGAACTGAAGGAGTTTCTGAGAAGTGATTCAGAAGAGCGTGGCCTTACACGCTCCCTCCTTTTGTGGACCTTAGTGCTGGGGAAGGACAGTGCCCGGCTGTGCTTTAGCGCCACCGTTTTCACAGCTACTCATTCTCAGTGGGACCTCACCAACTCATCTCAGTATCACTCAGTGGCTTTGGCAGGATGAAGAGTTTTTATTCAGTGTCCCCACTGTCCTGTCTCTTGTCCATCCCCCACCCTCTAAAAAGGGGCCCCAGTGAGGCAGTTGTGGGACAATAATGATGATAGTAATAATAATAGCCAACACTTCCATGGTCTTTTCTACAAGCCAGGCACAGTTCTGAGTGCTTTATTCATGAATGCTCTCTGGGGGAGGCACTGTTCATGTCCCATTTTATAGTTCAAGACCCCAAGGCAGCTTAACAAAGTTGCACAGCGGGCAGGGAGCAGAGCTGGGACTCCGGCCTTGAAGGTGGAGACAGGGTTTGAATCTCGGCTTGTTACTTACTAGTTCGGAGACCTTCCACAAGTGACTTAACTCTGAGCCTTGATTTCCTCGTCCTTAAAACGGGGATCATAAGCTCCTCTCTGACATATAGACATTAAATGAGATAACGTATCTGAAGGTGCCTGTGCCTGGTAGGTGATTAATGATAGCTATTTTTAAAAGAGTAAAATAGCAACATTAATTATATTAACATTGTAGCAGCTAAGGCAGTCAAGACTACGTGTTTTCATCTTAGAAAAACGTCTCCCGGGTCCATTCTTTTATGTCATGTTGTGAAGGTAGTTTGATTCCAGTGTGAAAAATTCTCTAGCGGGAGTTCTCAAGATGAAACCACATTTGACACGTAACACAGCGGGTGAGCATTCATCCCACCGAGTGAGGTCCTTCTAGCCTGTGGGGCTTTTGCTGATCAGATTACATTGGGATATAATAAAAGATAGCACAGGCTGACACAAATTGGAAAAGAAAATGTAAAGATCACACTGAAGACATACACAATAGCCCGACGTACTTTAATCATTCTGTATTAGCTTGCTGCATCTTAAACCATTTCCTTTCAAATCAAGTCACAGCTGTGTGTACTTTAGGCTGTGGCCATCATAAACAAATAGGAAAAGAAGCAGAGTTAAAACAGACGAACACTAATAGTTATCCATTAACACAAATGACCATTAAGAGACTTGCAAAAAAAGCCAGAGACTCAGAATTTCAAATATGAGCTCAAGCATGACCGAATGACAGCCGCGCGGTGACTACTGTCTAGTTTGGTTGAGGTTATAACGTTTTTGGGAAGCAAGTCCTCCCTGCAAGTGACTCTGTTGATAAGTGAAGACAGCGGAAGATTCCAGGGCACAGAGAGCCGGGTTTCTGTGAAGTACCTTCAGAGACAATAAAGTGAGTACCCTCTTCTGCGGTACAACTGGGGATAAGTTACCGTGGAAACTCGCCCCTCACCACCACCACCAACTGGTTTCAATCTTTTGGCAAGGAAAGGATCGCCATCTTTACTGTCTCCTCCCATTCCCACCCCCTCCTCTTCCAGTTCCTCATCTTTCTCTAAACCCCTGGACTTCTCCCCATGCCTGGTTCTAAAAACCAATTTAGTGTCTTAAAATATCAACCCATAATGGAAAATTGGGTAAAATGAGTTTACCTAAGGGTTGCCTATCTAACCACATGGTGTCAGAGTGGCTGGAGAGAGCACACCTCAGAGGACGCCAAGGCGTGCCACGGCGCTCGCTCTCAGACATCCTGCAGTGCCCCGGGTCCCCACCGTGGGGGCAGCGGGCAGCTGTATACTCTTTGACACTCTGCTTGCTTGCTGCTTTGTTGTCTGATGATGACAATTGCTCCTGATTGAGTGCTGTGTGCTGCGCTCCCCAGCTGAGAGCTGTTTGCTTAGATCAGAAAAATCTGAGTTGGTGATTGAGCCGGGGACACAGGTCAAGAGGTAAAAGCCAGCTGGGTCAGGGGGCGAGCAGAGCCTTGAAGAGCCCTCCCATTGGTCACCTGGAACTGGGGGATCTTTCCAGATTAACTGTGGAGCTTTTCTAGAACAGCACGAACTTCCTCTGGATGGTAGTTCCAAGGGCCAGGTTTACCCTGCAAGAGAAATGAATGAGCATTCCCAGATTTGTGACTTGCGGGAACACCCGGGTCTGGAGCTGAGAGATCCAGTGATGGCTGTGTGGGAGTCGACAGGACTGTGTAGTTGAGGGCAGAGGCACCCAGAGGTGGCTGAAATCACCAGGGAGAGTGTGTGGAGGGGCACCAACATTTAATGGGAAGGCTGGATAGAGAAGTCGGAGGAAAACCAGAGGGAGTGAAGTGAATCCTTTCAAAAAGAGGAAGGGGTCTATGCAAAGAAGCTTCTCTCCCCTAAGCAGACCTTTACACTGGCCTTATCTTCTCCACCCCCACGTCAAGTTCCACCGCCCGCCTCAACCACCTCAGCCTCTTTAATCCCGCATCCTCAGTCTCTGCTCCCTCCAGTCCATTCTTCCCTCAATACCCCGTGATCTTTCTAAAGTAAGGATCTGATCGCGTCTCCCCCTGCTCAAAACTCTTCAATGGGTCTCCTTTACCCTAAGAGGAACGCCAAACTTCTTGGTCCAGAACGAGACCCCTGTAGCACAAATGCCCTCAATTCTCCGTTTGCTCCCTGACCTAACATGCCTCAGTGCCTTTGCCCACCCTCTTCTGATATTTGCAATGATTTTCACTCACCATGCTCATGTGACTGGCTCCTTATTCTGAAAGGCCCAGGCAATTGTCACCTCCTCTGAAAAGCCTACCCTTCCCCCCAGGGTGGGAAAACTCACTGTCTGAGAGCCAGATCTGTCCCAAGGCCTCACTCCCTTTCTTTTGAGTATTGTCTATGCTGTTTTTGTGCTAAATCAGCAGAACCAAATGGTTGCAACAGGGATTATTTGGCCCAGAGTCAAATCTTTCCCCTCTGGCCCTTTCTCAGAAAGGTTTGCTGGTCCCTGCTCGGGAGTCTCACAGCACGTGGGCCACTGCGATGCTGTTTGTCTCTTCCTTATGCTCCCATCTCCGAGCACCTTGACGTAAGGTGTGGGCCGTTTTTAATCCATTTTTGTGTTTCCAGTACTCGCACAAGGCCTAACCCACGGTAAGGACTCAGTGCCCAGCTCGCCCCAGTCATGCCATTTTAGTACCATGTCCCAGGGGAGGGAAAAGGAAGGATGGGATCTTTGTGCCGTGACCCTTGGCACCCTGGGGATTCATCTGCAAGTTGTCGCTTGTTTCACCTGCGTGAGCAGGGCCAGCCTGAGCAGAGGGCAGAGGAGCCTCCACATGGTTGGGCTTCATGTGCTCTCCAAGGCTGGAAATCCCTTTAGCGGCTATAAACTTAGTTTCTGCCCTCTCAGAGGAGGGCAACACTACCCGGCGTGGGGGCCAGGGGTTGTGCTTCTCTCCTTCTCCCTGGCCAGGCTGGAAGCCACCAGGGGGCCACGATCGCCCGAAAGGAAGCCTGAACTCATTCCTGCTTCACCGTTTCCAGCTCCCCACTACAGGGCTCACTTTCTCCCAGCCTCCCCCACCCGCCTCCAGGTTCCGGCCTGCCTCCGAGATCAGCAACTGCAGCCTCTCCCACTCCTGGCCCATCCTATTCAGACGATTTAGAATTGAAATTAGAGCCTCGTGCAGTGTGACCTCGGGCAAGTCCGTTTCCTTCTCTGGACTTTGTTTATGAAACGGAAACAAGGTTCTCTCTCAGCTCCAAACTAAACGCAGGCTGGGCCAGTCTTCCGGGCTCAGAAGGCAGCCATGAGGTGGCAGCTCCAGTCCAAACGTGAGGACTTCCCTATGCATTATTTCATCCCCTGGGATGAGGGGGCCAACACCTCCATTCTGCAGAAAAGAAAGCAAAGCTCCAAGAGGGGAAAGGACCTGCCCACCGTCGCACAGCTGGTAAATGGCTGGGCAGCGATTGAATCCGAGGCTGCCTGATACAAAGCCCCCTCTTTGCCCTCTGCCCTCCCTGGGCGCCTTCCCCAGGGCCCCACCTTGTAGAGGATCCTGCGCGCCTGCAGCACGTAGAGCCTGTCGGGCAGCGCCGCGTAGAGCTGGCTGCTCCGGTTCTCCATGCTGTCCACCACCACAGGGCACGGCGGGCTCCTGTCCAGCAGCAGGCGGGCTGCCCGCAGGCGGTCCTGGAGATTTCGGTGATTCCTGATGACCACGTTGTTCTTAAAAGCCCAGCCATCTGCAAGAGAAACCAGGGCAGTGGTCCCAAGGCACAACACCCACTTCCTGCAGACTAAATACACCCCACTTTCAATTGAGGGTCCCAGATGGAGGAGCCCTTGGCCGTGATTTGGCCCAGTGTCCCATTAAAGGTGAGAGCACAAGATCACGTAGGGAGTCAGTGATGGATCCAGAACCAAAGCCCAGGGCTCCTGAGTCCCACACCTTGGCTCCTCAGTGTGAGACAGCCCGATAGACCGCTGCTTCTTGATCTTTATTGTGTGTACGACTCACTCAGGGACCTTGTTAAAGGAAGATTCTGATTCAATCTGTCCAGGGTGGCCCTGAGGGTCTAGCCAGCTCTCAGGATGCCAAGGCTGCTGCCGCCTGGCCCACACTTTGAGAAGCAAGGGTCTGGAGCAGTGGTTCTCTACGAGTGTGCTGCCCACACCAGAAGCGTCAGCCTCACCCGGCAGTCTGTTAGCAATGCAAACTCTCAGGCCCCACCCTAGACTGACCGGGAGTGCAGCTCAGCCATCTCTTAACAGCCTTCCAGATGATTCTAACACACACTGAAGTTGGAGAACTGCTCGAGAGTCTAGACAGTTTCCCTCTTGTAATTCTTCTCCACCAGTGTCCTTTCCAACATGCAAACCTGACCACGTCACTCTCCTGCTCGGACCCTTCGAGGGCTCTCCCTCTCCCTCAGGACAAATCCCAAGCTCCTAGTGTGGCCCGCCAGGTCCTCAGTGACCTGGCCATCGCTCCAGTGGCCGGGGGAAATACTTGGGATCGCTGGAGCCAGTCCCTGCGAGCTGTCTCTCGCGTCCGCCCTTTTCATCGTGGCCCCTGCCTCCCCCCGCGGTGTGGATGGAGCAGGACCTCCTCTGTCCTTGGTTTGGAGGCAGTCACGTCCACTCCTGCCGCTGATGTGTTAGCCCTCCCCCCAGCCTCATGGTAAGCCCCTCGGGGTGAGCTCACAGACAAGTACTGCTAGACCGGCAATGGCCCTGATCTTCACCCCCTCCTAAGCAGTCCTCCGGCCTCCTGATCTTGCTACTGTCCAACTCACCACCCAAAAATCTCTGAGAAGGATCCCTAACAGGAAATTGGATATTTTTTCTCTGCTTAGAAACCGATTACAGGACCAACTCCTTAGCATAGCGTTCATTGATCCCTACCATCTCTCCCGACCTGCATTTCTAGTCACGGCGGCCAGTGCTCCCACATCTAGCCAAAGTGGACTCCTCCTCAAGCGATGCTGACGTCTCTGCCCTTTCCCCTTGCCATCTCTTCCACATTTGAAATCCTACCCGTCCTTTTCAGCTCAACTCTAACGCAGGGCTTCTCAGTGCTGGTGCTGCTGACGTTTTGGGCTGGATCCTTCTTTGTTGTGGGGTCATTCTGTGTGTTGTAGGATGTTGAGCAACATCTCTGGCCTCCACCCACTAGATGTCAGAGCACCCCTCACCTTCAATCTGTGACAACCAAAAATGTCTCCAGACATCGCCAAATGTCCCATGGGGGACAAAATCACCCTCATCTGAGAACCACTGCTTAACACCGTCTCCAGGAGGCCCTCCCTGATGCACTCAGCTGTGTGACATTGGGCAAGCTCTTTAAATCTCTTTAAATTCTGTTTTCCTGTCTGTTAAACGGGGTTAATAGAACCTACGTTGCAGATGGCTGTGAGGCTGAAATGAGATAACTATGGAATTCCTAGTACTCTGCCTGCTTCTTAGTAGCCGCTCGAAAAATACTGGTTTAGGGGCTGGCCCGGTGGCACAGTGGTTAAGTGCGCACATTCCGCTTCGGTGGCCAGTTCGGATCCCGGGTGCGGACAGGGCACCGCTTGGCAAGCCATGCTGTGGTAGGCGTCCCACATATAAAGTACAGGAAGATGGGCACGGATGTTAGCTCAGGGCCGGTCTTCCTCAGCAAAAAGAGGAGGATTGGCAGATGTTCGCTCAGGGCTAATCTTCCTCAAAAAAAAAAAAAAGAAAGAAAAATAGTGGTTTATTTTTGCCTGACTGCCCCAAAATAACAGGTGGGAAAGAACCTAGTTTTCATTCTATGCCACGGGTTTTCTATTACTTTGTTCTGGAGATATCTCCCCTCCCCCCACCCCCAAAACAAACCCATTTAAGGCTGCTTAACTTTAAATGGAAGGGGATTTTCAATTGGCCTCGTTTGCCAGGTGCCCTTCTGCCTCCCTACAAGAGGTGGTATTCATTAGCTAATGGGCCCACACGTCAAAAAAATAACCATAAACTGCTCCTGGCCTTGCCCTTCTACTTGCTCCAGCTCTGGGCAATCTGGAACCCAGACAGTGTGGTCACGGGTTCCTGCGGAGCCATACGGGCTGGGTTTACAGTAATCATTGCCTCCCAGGGTGGCCCGAGTTGCTTAGGTCTATCAGCAGCATTGGCTCCGCCTCCTCAGCGCTGCACAGCTCTCTGCTCAGTCCCTTCCCCGAAAAAACCAGCTCTCAGCAGAAATTCACACCAAGATACATGTGCCTGGCCACGGTTCAACGTATTTGTTACCTGCCTCGAGACATCAGAACTTTGCGTATGACAGTGACACCAGCATGTATTTGTGTCGTGTTTAGGCCGTTGATCTTTTCACCTATCAGCTCCCTGGAGCTTCTTCCTATGGAGGCCGAGCAGGGCTTCCCGTCCCCATCCTGCAGCTGAGAACATGGAGGCCCAGGGAGGAGCAGTGACTGGCCTCCCAACTTAACTCTGCCTTCCTCAGAGGCAGGAACTGTGTGTATCTTCCATCCCCATTTCCCCGGGCTTGGCACAGGGCTGGGCACATAGCAGGGACATTAAACTCTGTCCAGTGAGTGACTCTGTGAGGTCACTGTTGTCATCCCATCATGTTACTGGCACAGAAGCAGGCGTGGAAGGTAAGTTGCCAAAGGTCATGTGGCCAGCACATGACGAAGGTAGGACTCACACTCAGGTCTGAAACTCAGCAGTCTGTCCGTCCCACCACACCTCGTGCCTCCTTATTAATTTACCTGGACAAACAAGTGGTGTGTGGGAAAAAGGAAGCCAACTGGTTTAGGCCACAGACCCCAGACCTTCTAGGATGGATGGACACTGGCTCCTTGCACTTTAATTCTGGGTTTTAGGCCACACCCACCTCTGTCTGATTGACAGAAACAAGTACCCTGGGGAGGGAGGTGGGGAGGAGGAAGGAATGCCCCAGCTCGGAGTGGCAAAGCACGGAGGAGAGAAACGGGTCTTTGTCAGGACCGGGGGGAGCAAGCCTTCCCTCAGTGGCTTGAGGTGGACAGCCCCATGCTCTGGAAAGAGCTAAACCTGCTGGGCCTGGTTCCTGGTGAAATGGGTCAGGAGACAGGTTTCAGGACCAGGAACAATTTCTGTGAGCATCTGACACCTCTTGTCTTTTATTTTTCTTTTTAGATTAAAGCTGGATCCTCCAGGATCTTTTTTCTCCAAGTGTGGTCCCTGGACCACCAGCCTCAACACACCGGGAGAGCTGGTTAGAGATGCCAAATCTCAGGCCCCTTTGCGACCCTGCTGAGCCAGAATGCAGGGGACTGAAGTGCACAGTGAACTTCGAGAAGTGCTGGCCCGCGACAGTTCACTCGGCTGTGGCTGAGCATCAGCTGTGCTCACATCGAGGCATCGTTTCTTCCCAGCCGTGGAGACCACAGACGCCTGGGGGTGCCCAAGTTCTGTTTCTTTAACTGATGGCTGCTGCTCTCCCAAAGTGGCATTTGATGAAGAGACACATTATGCTTGCATTTGATCTCCTGTTACCTACGTTGTTTGTTTTAAATTTTATTATGGGAATTTTCAATTTTACATAAAAGTAGAGAGAACAGTATAATGAACGTCTGTGTACCTATCACCCTATGCTAATATTTTAAATTGTCCCAAAGTCTTAATGAGGACCAAAGTTTCCAGTTAAATGAACAAAGTATTAAGCTGAAAGCAGCTCTCAGACCTTAAGGTGCATATAAATCAAGATGCTGTGGGCCTGGGGTGGGGCCCTGGAACATGCATTTCAACAAGCACCCATGTGGCTCTGACATGAGGGATTGAGGGAACATGCTGGGGAAAGTGCTGCTGGACCAACTTTGCTGGTCTCTACACTTACAACACACGGATAAGCCAGCAAGGTTAACGCTGGCCGAAACACTCCCTCATTCACCCAGCTTTTACTGCGCTCTGGCTCTGTGACATGGACTCTGCCAGGTGCTGGGTGACAGAGACGAATCTTAGGGGGAGATGAGTGAGTAAATTATATGTGTTCCACTCAGCCGCATGAGCCTTCTTCAGTCTCTGAGTTGAGAGTTGGGCCAAAATCATGGGTTCAATCCCCGTGAAAATCAGGGAGATAGGGTGTGTCTGACCATTTTGTAAAGTTCAAGGGGCTTAGACCAAGCTGGAGAAGTTTCAGGAAGGGATATGTCTGTCCACTGTAAGGAAGGACTTTCTCCCAAGCCGAAGGAACAAAATTTCCCGTGAAGTAATGAAGATGAGTGACCACCTGTTAGCGGCTGAAAAAGGACCCTTGCCCCAGGGAAAAGCTGCCTAGAGCAGCTGTTCTCAAAGCGTGGTTCCCAGACCAGCAGCTTCAGGATCACCGTCATGCAGCTTGTTAGAGATGCAAATTCTCAGGCCCCACCCCAGATTTAACTCAGGAACTCGGGGGCGGGGTCCAGGGGTCTGTTTTAACAAGCGCTCCGCATGCTTCTGATGCTCCCTAAAGCTTGGGAACCACTCACCAAGGGGAACCACAAGTCCCTTTGCACGTGGAGAGTCTCAGGGTGGATTTGACCAGTAGCTACATAGCTGTCATCTCACTAGTGACATTTCAGGTCTATATTCCCTGTAGTTGTGTTCATATTAACCCCTCTGCCTTGACTTCCCTATTATCCACTCAAAATGTTAGATGCTCTCCCAGCCAGACCCGCTCACTGCAGTTTTGCCGCTCCATGTGCCTGTCTGAAAGCACAGCGGCGGAGCTGGTGGGTGGTGGCGAACCCTCGCAGAGACCGGGAGATGGCAGGTGCTCAGAGAATAGCGCCTCTTTCCCTCTCTCCTCCTCTTCCTCCCCACTCCCACCTTGAAATGGGCTTGGAAGAAGGGGAGAGAAAGGAGAGGGCAGGAAGAGAGAGAGGCAGGGCATCTTTCTGTACCTGATGCGTGTGCTTCTTCTATGTAGATGATGAGGAAGTCTGCTATGGAACTGAAGTCTTCAATAAGTCTCTTGAATTGGTCAAATTTGAAAAGAAATGAGGGTCAGGTACAACTTCCAAAATTCAGCACCAATGGCCTGTTGCCTAAAACAGAAATGGAACCACCATCAACCAATAATCTACACACAGCGTTTTGCAAGCACCATCCCCACTCCAGCGTTCAACTCGATTACCTTTATTTCCCTTCTAAGATGGATCCAGGGCACAGTGCGGGGCTGAAGCCTGGGGACGTGACTTAGCGGAGGCTGGAGCCAGTTTACTTGAAAATGAGGGTCTCTAATCAGGTGGGTTCAGTGGACTACCTGCAGTCGCTGGCTGGCGATTAAAACAATGATAAGGAGAGTCCCTTTCATGCAGTTTCTAAGGCAGACATGCCTCCATTCGCTCATGTGATACTAACATATGTTGCAAGGTAGGTTATTTTTTTCCTGGTTTATAGACTTGCAGTAGTCACACAGTAGGTCACACAGTAGGTCAGTGGTGGAGTTCAAATTAACACTCTGGCTTCTAGATGCTCAATTCAGTGCTCTCAGGAATCTGAGGGGCTTCCTCATCCACAACTACACATAGTTATAACACTTAACTTACAGGATTGTTATGAGGATTAAAGAAGTTAGTGCAGATAAGGGCTTCCAATGGTGCCTGGGCCATGGCAGGCGCTCGGTAAACGTAAGCTGTTGTTACTAGCTCTTCTCTTCTCCCTGAGCTATGAAGTAGGGGAGTCAGTGGAGGGTACTCCTCAAAGGGGAGTGCAGGATGGGAGCAGGACTGGCTACATAATTTGCTGGGCCCAGTGCAAAATGAAAATGCAGGGCCCCTTATTCAAAAAGTGGGGAAAATGTGCCATTAACATATTAAAATATAAAGTTTTTTTCCTGCAGTCTCTCTCTTGCCCTGGCATAGTGCTTTTTAGCTGCTTTTAAATGTCACTCTCCCCTGGGCACAGGGATATTCATAGGGTGAATGCAGTCACCTTACAGTCACCCAGGAGCCCCAAAACTCAGCGCACATATGTATGTGTGCCTATGGCAGCTGGCTCCCGGCTTTCCTCTCCCTCCAGCCACCAGACCAATACACCATGCCCTGGCCAGGAGCACAGAAATTGAGCCAGACATTTCCCCTTCCCACCTGCCTACCACCCCAACATACAGGATATTACAACCTCCATACAGGGGCCTGCTAGGCTCCGTGATGGGGGAGCGGGGTAGGCAAGTAGCTTCTCCTGCTGAGTCACCCCCAGTCACTTGCCCAATGCACCATGGTGCTGTCAGCCCAGGATGGGGACAGCCACCTCCATGCCCTGTCATGAAATGCTGCAGGAGGCCCACACCTGACCCCAACCTCTCCCATGCCTGGGATCAGGCCCTCTCTGGGGCCAGAAGGTGGCAGCAGTCACTGGTGGGAGCAGGAAGGGGGTTGGACAAGCCCAGCATCAAGGGTGGAAGAGTGGGCCTTGGAGGACTTGTCCCAGGGGAGCAGGGAGGCTGTGGGAGGCAGGATCCTGCGTGAGCCAAGGCTCCAAGTCCCCAGGACAATGTTCCATTGTCCCGTCAGTCTTCACTTACAAAATGCAAATCCAAAGACATAATTATTGAAGATTTCAAGTCAGCCACTTCAGAGCATTAAACCCCAAGAAAGGGTCCTTCTGAATGTGGGACCCTGTGTGATTCATTGGTCACACGCCAGTGAAGCCAGGCCTGGGAGGGGGACCCTTGTGTAACTCCCCCAGCCTAGACTGGGGGTAACTCTGGGGACGGACAGCGCCCTGTGGTCACTTATGGCCGGAGCTGACAGTGTTGAGCCCTTACCTCGTGTCTATTAGGGCACGGCAGCTCCTGCGCTGTGACACAGACTGTTTAGGTGTCTGTATCCTCAGGCTGCTCACTGCCCCTTGAGGGCAGGGCCTGTCCCTCCTTCACCCTCATGTCCCCAACACTGAGCACACCCTCATTCCATCTACAAGCATTTATTCACCACTTACAATGTGCAAGGCTCTGGGCCACACGCTGGGGACTCAACAGAGAGCAAGACCAGTAGGTCTCTGCCTGCTCACAATTTGAGATCTGTTTAATGGGGAGACAGGCAAAAGACAAGCAAACAATGGGCCCGGCCCCGTGGCGGAGTGGTCAAGTTCCTGTGCTCCACTTTGGCGGCCCAGGGTTTTGCCAGTTTGGATCCTGGACACGGACATGGCACCGCTCATCAGGCCATGCTGAGGCGGTGTCCCACATGCCACAACTAGAAGGACCTATAACTGGAATATACAACTATGTACTAGGGGACTTTGTGGAAAAGAAGAAAAAAAAAAAAGAAGAAGATTGGCTACAGATGTTAGCTCAGGTGCCAATCTTTAAAAAGAAATAAATAAATAGAAATTTTTAAAAAGTAAACAGCTAAATGAGGTAATTTCAAGTTGTGGGCAGAGTTATGAAAGACGCTATAAAGGTCAGTCAAGGAAGGGCTCCGAGGAGATGCTGTTTAACCTGAGAAGCGAAGGGTAGGAATGAGCCAGCCGTGGGCAAAGGAAGAGAAGGCATTCCAGCCAAAGGGGCTTGATGTACAAAGGCCCGGAGTAGGGACAGACTTGGCGTGTTCAAGGACCTGTGAGGCCACTGTGACTGGAGCGTGGCCGGGGCGTGGGTGGTAATGAGAGATGCGGTTGGAGAGGGAGGCGTGGGCCACCTCGAGAGCTGGTAGGCTCTCCTACACCTTTGAGAAGAATCTGGATTTTATTCTAGGAACAATGGGATATCACAGAGATATAAAGCAAGGATGGTGGGTATTTGTTGCAATTTGGCTGCTCAGCTCTTAATCCTCCTTCCCACTTGGAATTCCCTATTTTGTGTACTATTCACGGGAGATTGTGCCCAGCCTCACTCTGTGAAGGACACAGGGGCCACATCAGTGCTCTGCCCCCAGAAGCCAGCACAAGCAGTGACCCAGGCTGAGCCAACTGGACCCTCGCACATAGATATTTGATTCTGGAGTCATTGAGATGGTAGAATTCACCTACAGCCCAGTGGTAGTGCTCTTGTCAGAGATGGTGGAGTCCTACAGTGCTGATGGGTTTCTATGACAACCACCATGAGAGCAGCATCCAGGCCCAACAGCTGATGCTAAAAGACGGTTCAGGCATGGTGATTTAGCTGCAGTTGATTCTGGGGAGCCCGCAACATCTTTCCAATACGTTCCTTTGCATATGTATGTGTGTGTGTGACTAAGAAAACCAGAGCAAGTTTCTGTTACTTGCAAGTCAGAGCCCTGACTGCTCCAGGAGGCTGTGTAATGAGAAATGAGCAGATTCACACTTGAAGATGACTCTGGCTACTCTGTGGAGAAAGGACTGAGGGTGAGAATGGAAGTGGGGGCAGAGTTAGGGGGCATCGGAGAAATCCACATGAGAGAAAACAGGAGGCTGGGCTAGTGTGGGGCAGTGGAGAAGGGGAGAAGGAGGAATTGATAGGACTTGATGGATGGGGCGTAGAGGGCATCTTAACTCGCTTGTGGTTTATTTGGTTAGTTGTTCCCTCATCTTGTTCTGCAAAGGATTTGAAACAGCTTGTACACATTTAATCATGCATCGCTTAACCATGGGAAAACGTTCTGAGAAATGCACCGTTAGGCAATTTCATCATTGTGGCAACATCATAGAGTGCATTTACACAAACCTAGATAGTAGAAGCCTGCTACACACCTAGGCTACCTGGTACTAATTTTATGGGACCACCATCATATATGCTGTCCATCATTGCCTGAAATGTCCTTTTTTTTTTTTGGAAGATTGGCCCTGAGCTAACTTCTGCTGCCAATCTTCCTCTTTTTGCTGAGGAAGATTGGCCCTGAGCTAACATCTGTGCCCATCTTCCTCTATATGTGGGACACTTGCCACAGCTTGACTTGATAAGTGATGCGTAGGTCCGCGCCTGGAATCCGAACCGGCGAACCCCAGGCCGCCAAAACGGAGCGCACGAACTTAACCGCTATGCCAGTGGGCCGGCCCCTGAAACGTCCTTATGTGTAGCATGACTGTAGTAAAATATTACACAGAATTTTTAAAAAAATTGTGCCCCTCTGGGAGGCATAGAACAGGAGGGAAAAGTAGAACACAAAGAAACAGCCCTTAAGGTTCCAGGCACTTGTTATAACTGAGCTAATATTTGACTCTGAGTTTCCAGGTGGCCAAGTAAAAGGAGAAATGTGACTGGTTGTGTATTCCTCATTTTTCAGTACATGAGGAGAAGCAGGCCAATTCCTCTGGAGACACAAAGCTCTCCTTGTCCTTGGCTCACAGAGTTTCTCATAGGGGACCCCAGGAGGCATTGAGTGAGCCTCAGTCACTGATGGTTGACTGCACAATGAGTCCTTATGCATGTGACAGGGTTGCCCAGGCCTCAGCAGGGGAGGATCAGAGGCCAGTCGTGAACAAGTGGCTGACCATTGGCCTCCCATGACCCCAGGGAGTCATGCTTCAGATCAGAACCCAGGAGACGTAAGGTTGGGACCAGCACCAAGTATTAGCTATCTGGAATTTTGTTTTTAATTAGATAAAAAATTTCAATGCCTGCTGATTGGGACCCTGGAAAAAACAGGGCGATTTGTTTGCTTGTTTGTATTGTGGCTGGGCGCAGAGATCAGTATTGAGGGCAATGTTTAAACTTAGCTCCCTGCTTTCCTGGTAGCAGAGGGAGGAAGGATGGGTGCCAGGGGTTTGCTGTGCTGAGGGCTGGCACCCTGCCCGTGTCCACAGGCCGTGGTGCAGAGAACACCATTGCAAGAATGTCAGGCGAGGACCGTCAAGTCCAGCTCGTCTGTATAAATGGGAAAACAGCTCTGTCGTGTGCTGGACTCGAACCCACCATCATGACCCCCAAGCTAGTAAATTAACCCCCATTCCAGGCTCTCTCAGCAGAGAAAGCCCATTTATAGTCACTAAATGACACTTCTTGTACAATTGGAGAGATTTTAGAAGATTTTAAACAGGGGCTGAAATAAATTGTTCCAGATAAACTGCCAGGTACTCAGAAAATAAATTATCCAGACTTGCTTTCTGCCACAACATGCCAGTTAATCAATGTTTTGCTCTGCATGTGTGTCCAAGAGCGTGCATATGTCATGTGTGCCACGTGTGTGCATGTGTGCGCACATGCAGAGGATAGGAGGTGGCTGAGAGTTTCTCTGAGCCCCTGTTGTCTTATTCAATAACAGAAAGTACACTAGCTGAGAGTCAGAAGGCTCAAGTTCTAGTTCGGACTCTACAACAACTCTGTTTGACTCTGAGCAAGTCGTTTATCTCTGGGCCTTTGCATCTGAAAAATGAAAGAGTCGCTTTAGATTATCTTTAGAGAGGCTTCCAGACCTTCCAGTCTGTGGCTCTACAATGAGCTCAGATTTATTCCTAAAGCTTGTAGTGGTCTGGTGGGTTTCCAAAGCAATTACAGGCTGCCTTTCTAACCAGCAGATCTGACCACGTTTACTCCCTGCCTAAAAGCCTTCCGGAACTCACAATGCCTTCAGGACCAAGGCTACCCTCTTCACTAAGACATATAAGGTCCCCAAGCTCTGGTCCCTGATGGTACCTCCAGCCTCGTCCTCGCCCTTTCATGCCTCTCACACCCCACTTCTGCCAGACGGACCAACGTTCTTCCATGTCTCGGGCCTCTGCTGCTCCTCCCCTCTGCCCTGCTCTGCCCCCCACTCCCCTCTTCCTCACCCACCCCAAGGCTTCAGTCCCCAGACAATCGGCTCACCGTCCTCTTCTCCAGGAAGACTTCCCCGACCCCCTCCCCGCCCCACCCAACTTCTTCCAGAACCCTCCGGTTCTGTCTCCCATGACATCATCTCCCTCTCAGAGTTATGAGAGCTCCCAGGGCAGAGACCCCTTGTGCTGACTGCTGCACCTATTATTTCAGGGGCTCGGGGTCAATGTGCTGAGAGCCCACTCTGTTTTATAAATAGAGTTTTCTTTTGTCCCTGTCTCCTCTCTCCATTCGCTCTCTCAGGTACAACAGCGGGGAGCAGAGACCATAGAATATCGTTAAAATGTAAGCTGGCCCACTGCAAGTAAACGGTTAACAGAAGCAAGTAAGTTCTGTGAATTGGCCATGAGGTAAGTTGGCGTTCATGGAACTGATCGCCAGATGATTGATGGTCAGCAAACTGGCCTGGTCCATCACAGTGCTTGGCTCGTAGTAGAAGCACAATAAGGGTTAGCTGTTATTCTCATTGCTCTGATGATCAGTGGTCACTTAGTGAAAGTTTGTTGAGTAAATAGAGGTCATTTGTGCACTGTGGTTTAGAATCATGAGCAGAAAACTCTTCCCTTCCCTCTGTTTGAAACACTTTTCCCTCTTCTCTTCTCAAACTACAAAAATCTTACTCATTCTTCAAGGCCTAGTTCCAAAGTTACCTCCTCCAGGAAGCCTTCCAAGCCCTGCAGGCTTGTTCATCCCTTTACAGCCTCCCCATCTCAGGGAACTGGACGGATTTGTTTATCTCATCCTTCTGTTCTGGAGAACCGTGAACTCCTTGAGCAAAGGAGCAAACTCTGACCTAAGGCTGAGGCCCCGGCGTTTGGCTGAGGGCCTGGCACACGGGCGCTGCTCACAGTGTGTGTTGAGGTGCACTGGAAAAACAAGCAGCCCTGATTCTGGGTCTGACTGGCTCTGCTACCTTTGCTCTCAGTGTTCTCCATTTCCCCTCTAAAATGAGAGGAGTGGATTTGGGGTTAGTTTCCCAAAGGGCGTTCTTTGGAACCAGTATGGTGATGACAGGCATTTCCTTGGGTGGAGAGTGGGGAGTTGTGTGCCTGTGTTAGGAAAGATTGTCAGTGCTGGGTTAAGGTGGTTTCAAGTTTCGTTTGTCTGTGTTTAAGCTTCAGGGCTTCTCAGAGCCTTTCATGTGTTCAAGCGTACTACGAATTTCCAGGAGGAGGGCATAGCATGCAGGGTTTCCCAAACTACTTGGATCAGGGAACTCCACGTAGTAAAGCCATCTATGGGATTTGGGTTCCAAAGAAGACGCTTTGAAAAACACTAGATTAGCCAGCTGCCTCCGGGACGTCCTCTGCTCTAGCTGCTGTGTCTAGGTCCTGGGAATTCAAAGATGAGTCAGACAGCCCTGTCGTGAGGCTCCCCACCAGGCAGGAAGAAAACACTTGTGCTTAGGCAGCCAGATGCTAGATACAAAGAATCACTGTCCTGGGAGAGGTGCAGACAGAGAGGCACGAGTCTGGAAGGGAGAGAAAGCGTGCCTGGCTGTAGGCATCTGAGATGGCCTCGTGGAGGGGGAGGCAGGAGAGCAGGACTCTGATGACCAGGGGGATTTCAACTGTTGGCGATGGAGGGAAAGGGCCAAGAACCTCGGCAAAGGCAGAGAAGGGACAGCCCAAGGGACAGATGAGGCTCAACAGTCTGTCTGGAGGCAACGAGCATGCGGGGAGCCTGCAGGTGAAATTGGGAAGAAAAGCTGGAGTCAGCCCAGGCTGGGCCCTTGAGCTCTAGGCTGAGCCAGGGCTTCACCCCTAATGCAGAGGGGGGCTACCGAAGGTTGCTGAGCCAAGGTGTGCTTGCGGCCGGGGGTGTGCTTGTGGAAGGGTGTTCTGGTAGCCATTCACAAGGTGGGTGGGAAAAGAGGGAGAGAGGCAGAGAAGGAAGTCCTGGCAGGAAGAGCAGCCGTGAGGACAAAAAAAGAAAACTAATCTGACAGGTCTAAGATCCCAAATAAATAGAACTGGTTTGCCTGGAAAATATATATAGAGAGAGAGCTCTTCAACCAGTATTTCCTGAGCCAGCAGCCACAGGGGCGCAGCAGTGGCTTAGAGCAATGGTCTCCAGCTGCACGGAGCTTACAGGCCTGAGACAGGGACAGACGTTAATCAAAGGCCCAGACACAATTACAAACCGGGATGGGTGTAATAAAGAAAAGTTTAGGATGTTAAGCACACAAGAGCGGGTAGCCTAGTCCAGGAGAATTGGGGTTGGCTGGTTGCAGGAAGTGTCACGGAGCAGAAGTCTGAAGGCTGACCGGGGGTTGACCGGGCAGAGAGGGAGTGAAGCGCGTCCCAGGCAGAGCGACGGCGGTAGGACTGCGCTAAAGGAGCGAAGGCCAGGGTGCTGGTTGGTGGTTTGAGTGCTGGGAAGGTGGTGATGCCTCTTAGAAAAACAGAGTCCAGGAGAAGTCCTAATTTCAGGAGGTGAGAAGAGGACAAGAAAGCGAAAGAGGAGCAGCTGGAGCAGTAGAAGAAGAATTCAGGGCTTTCCCACCCACTCCCTCACCCCCCAGGAGCCCCCCCATTCCAAGCACCCCCAAGCTTGCGTCAGCCTCCTGACCTTGCATGAAGTCCCAAATGTTGCACCTCTGCCCTGAGAGGCGGACCACGGGGCTGTTTGGGGCCAGACCCCCTCTCTTAGTCGTGTCCTCTAGTCGCTGCCAATGGACCTTCAGGACAAACCAGAAATACTGGGTGCTGTAGAGGGTCGGGACCCAGTTGTCGTAGGAGAAGTGAGGGTTCTTCTGGTTCATGGCCACGATGTGCTGCTTGACTCTGTCAGGAAACAGTGTCAGCAGCACTTTGCCCACGGCCACTTGAAGGGCCACCTGCAGGAGCACCCAGAGCCTTTTCAGCCACAGCCCTGCCCGGGGCAGCCCCATGTTGGCACAGCCAGAGCTGGCTTTGAGGCTGAGGGGCAGAGGCCACAGCCGGGTGACACTGGGCGGAGCTGGACAAAGGTGCAGGGTGGGAGTAACCAACCCAGGACAGCAGGAAGGGGTCAGGACAGAAGGTGTTTGCCTTCCTGTCGTGGACTGGAAAATTCCAAACCAGGTGCTCAAAGGTCTGTCTTTTTTTTTTTTTTTTTTTTTGAGGAAGATTAGCCCTGAGCTAATATCTGCTGCCAATCCTCCTCTTTTTGCTGAGGAAGACTGCCCTGAGCTCACATCCGTGCCCATCTTCCACTACTTTATATGCGGGACGCCTGCCACAGCATGGCTTGCCAAGCGGTGCCATGTCTGCACCAGGACCCGAACCGGCGAACCCAGGGCCACCAAAGTGGAACGTGTGAACTTAACTGCTGTGCCACCGGGCCAGCCCCTCAGAGGTCTGTTCTAATTGTTAGTGTTTCTGATTCTTCGTCTTAACCTTTGAGAGATTCTTGGATGGGGAGAGTTCAGATCTTAAATTCTCCCTCTGATAAATTTTTTAAGACAAATACTCAAAATGGTTACACTTACAGGGATTCTGCGGTCCTTTGGAAAGGCTCTGTTGCAAATGAGTGAGCTCTACTGTTAATTATTCTTTTAATAATGTAAATTGTCCTCTTACTAATGAAAGATGTTTCTCCCACTCACAGCTTCTAGCTGGTGGTTGAGCGTTTCTGGAGGCACAGCCCTCTCCAGAGGACTTGGGTCTGGAAGCTCCCCAGGCAGGGACAGAGCCGGGACCATCCCCAAGGACATCTGCGGCAGAGTGATAAATACCACGCTCCCTCTGCTCTCAGGGGTGGTGGTCTAGAGCGGGGAAGAGACAAGGAGACAGAAAATGATCACTTAGTGTATAAGGGCAGAGATGGGGGGTGGGTGGGGGAGCCTGGAGAAGGGACAGCTGATTCTGTTTAGAGAGGTCAAGCGGACTTCCCAAGGAAGCGACGTCTATGCTGAAACCAGAAAGACAGAACAGCAAGCAATAAACCAGGTAAGTCCTGGTGGAAGCTGTCACATGCCCAAAGGCCCGGGAGCCAGAGAGAGCGTGGCTTAGTGGAGAAAATGAAAGAAGAATCCTAGAAGCTCAGAGCTAGCAAATGTTTTAGAAAGCATCTGAAACCACTTTCTTTTTTAAGCAAGGAAACTGAGACCCAGAGAGGGAAGTGGCCTAAGGCCAGTTCTGCTGTTAATTAATTGCTAAGGAGTTCGCTCACAAACTTTAAGTTTACTCTCCCTGAGGCATTTGGACACCTGCGTGTCAGGGCAGAGGGAGAATGTGTGAAAGCTGGCTGCCCCCTCCACAAAGCTGTCAGCCTTAGCCTCCAGCTCTCTAACTTGATTTAGAGAAGGAAAGAAAGCTGCAAGAGACGTTCTGTTTCTGAGCATCTTACTGTAAATGCCACGTGCTGTGCCACAAAGTCCAGCACGTGCTGCTTCGGGCGGTAACAAACCCCTCGTGTGCAGAGAGCGTTTTGCCGTGTACAAAGCAATCCTACAGCTGGGGTTGCACTTGTTTTTGCTGTTGATTGTGGTGGTTTGTTTGAAATAGACTGTATTTTTTTGAGCAGTTTTAGGTTCACAGCAAAATTAAGCAGAAAGTACAGGAGTTCCCATGTATCCCCTGCACCGACACATGCACAGCCTCCCCCACTATTCCTGTCCCATCAGAGTGCTGCATTTGTAGCAATTGATGAAGCTATATTAAGAAATCGTTATCACCCAACATCCGTAGCTTATGCTGGAGTTCACTCTTGGTGTTGCACAGCCTGTGGGGTTTGAAAGATCTCTAGGTGTGTATCCACCGTGCTGGCATCATAAAGAATAGTTTTGCTGCCCTCAAGCCGTCTGTGGTCCTCCGATCCATCCCGCCCTTCCCCTGACCTCTGGCAACCATTACTCTTTCTACTGTTTCCACGGTTTTGCCTTTTCCAGAATGTCATACAGATGGACTCATACAGATGGACTTACAGAGATTTTCAGCTGGGCTTCTTTCAGTTAGTAAGATGCATCCAAGAAACCTCCGTATCTTTTCATGACTTGATAGCTTATTTCTTTTTAGCACCGAATAATACTCTGCTGTCTGGAGGTGCTACAGTTTATTTATCTATTCACCTACTGAAGGACATTTTGGTTGCTTCCAGATTTTGACAATTATGAATAAAGCTGTTTCTATAGACTGAATGTTTGTGTCCTCCTAAAATTCATATGTTGAAACTCAGTTCCCAATGTGATGGTATTTGGAGGTGGGGCCTTTGTGAGGTGATTAGGTAACTGGAGTGGAGCGCTAATGAATGGGGTTAATGCCCTTATAAGAGAGACCCCAGGAGCCAGCCCAGTGGCGCAGCGGTTAAGTTTGCACATTCTGCTTTGGCATCCCGGGGTTCGCCGGTTCAGATCCCCAGTGCAGACACGGCACCGCTTGGCAAGCCATGCTGTGGTTGGCGTCCCACATATAAAGTGGAGGAAGATGGGCATGGATGTTGGCTCAGGGCCAGTCTTCCTCAGCAAAAAGGGGAGGATTGGCAGCAGATGTTAGCTCAGGGCTAATCTTCCTCAAAAATAAAACAAAAGAGAGACCCCAGCAAACTCCCTTGCCCCTTCTACTATGTGAGGACACAACAAGGAGATGGCTACCTGGAACCAGAAAGTAGGCCCTCTCTAGACACCAAATCTGCTGGCACCTTGATCTTGGACTTCAAAACCTTCAAAACTGTGAGAAATAAATTTCTGTTGTTTATAATCCACTTAGTCTATCGTATTCTGTTATAGCAGCGCAAACATCTGTGTGCGGGTTTTTACGCAAACATAAGTTTTCAGGCCATTTAGGAAAATACCAAGGAAGCACAACTGTAGGATCTTATGGTAAGAGTATAGTTAGCTTTGTAAGAAACTACCAAACTGTTCCTCTAAAATGGCTGTGCCATTTTGCACTCTCACCATCAGTGAATGAGAGCTCCTGTCGTTCCACATCCTCACCAGCATTTGGCGTTGTCTGTGTTCTGAATTTTGGCTGTTCTGATAGCAGGTAAAGGTGTCTCATGGTTGCTATAGTTTGCAATGCCCTAATGGCATATGCTGGTGATCATCTTTTTATATACTTATTTGCCATCTGTGTGTCTTCTTTGATGAGGTGTCTTTTCCAATCTTTTGTTCATTTTAAAATCAGATTGTTCTTTTTTTTTAGGAAGATTCGCCTGAGTTAACACCTGCTGACAATCTTCCTCTTTTTGTACGTGAGCCAGCGCCCCAGCGTGGCCACGGACAGACAAGTGGTGTAGGTGTTCACGTGGGAACTGAACCTGGGCCACCAAAGTGTAGCACACCGAACTTAACCACTAGGCCACCAGGGCAGGCCCAGATTGTTCTTTTTTTTATTGGTGAGTTTTAAGAGTTCTTTGTTTAGTTTAGATAATAGGCTTTATTAGCTATGTCTTTTACAAATATTTTCTCCCAGGCTGTGGCTTGTCTTCCCAGCCCCTCGACCATGTCTTTGCAGAGCAGAAGTTTTTAATTACAATAAAGTCAAACGTCAATTCTTTCTTTCGTGAATTGTGCCTTGGTGTTATAACTCAAGATCATCTAGTTTTTATTCCTTGTTATCTCCAAGTTTTACAGTTTTGTGTTTTAAATTTGGGTCTAAGATCCATTTTGAGTTAATTTTTGCGAACGGTGTAAGGTCTGTGCCTAGATTCATTTTTTTACATGTGGATGTCTAGTTGTTTCAGCACCTTATTGTTGACTACTACAGAAGCTCCTTTGCCCCAAATCTAGCCCATGTCCTCCATAAGATCACTTGTCAAGGGCTAAAGTTTTGGAAGGAAAGCTATGGGGTCTCTGTGTCTGTGTATATGTTTATGTATGTCTACGGATAGGTGTTATGTATATGTTATTTTTTTCCACCTCCAGAGAGTATTGCCAAAATTAACCTATAAAAGAGCTCTATTTAATTTGCTCAAAGAAAAGGAAACTTTAATGTCAATAGTGCACTGTAAAACAAAAACAATTTTCTTTCATCTGCTAGAAAGACAAAATTTTCTTAGACCATTTTTCTGTTCTTGATTATAATGTGAAAGGTTTTTCTTTACCTCACTCTCCTCAATGCCAGGTGGGCACGGTCTGTCTTCCGCTGGTATGATCATTTGGCTGCCATCTTTGTTCCCTCTGTTGGCCTGGAGGACATCATAGCACATATAGAAGCCCTTGCTAAACTCACCCAGAAAGCCTTAAGTGGTAACCCACAAAGCTCGTCCTTGCTGAGCACTGAAATGTCTCTAATGAGGAAAGCTGTCCTCCAAAATAGGATGAACTTGGACATTATTAGTGCCTTGCAAGGAGGCACTTGTGCCATTATCCAAAGAGAATCTTGTGTGTTCATACCTAATGAGTCTGTTAATGTATCATCTTTATTAAATTACATGAGGGCACAAGTGAATGCCCTGAGTGATCTGACCCTCAGCCTAAGGGAGTTAAGAAATCAGTGGTTCAGATCATGGGGCTCTGGTGGAAAAAATTGTCACTGATTTTGGGAATCATTGTCTTACTCTGTATTTTCTCTTGCATGTCCTTGTATTGTTGCCATAGCATCTGCCTCCAGTGCAGCCAGATAGTCACCAAAGAGCCACCTTCATGTTGGTGAAACTGCTTGCTGACTGCTCAGGGCATATTGCAGAAGAAGAGGACATATGAGATTGTAAGAACCAGCCATGAGGGACAGAATATTGGAGGAGGTCATTGAGAGGGCATGACTGCTGGTTGACCTAAAAGCTGGACCCAGGTAATCAGAGGCTCCTCACCCACCCCTGTCCTTGGAATGTGCATTCCACTTGTCTTTCCTGCATTAGAAACTGCCCAAGGATGCAGCCTTGAGATAGTAATGTGTCTTTGAGACTATCTGGATGGTATATGTGACTGAGTTTAGGCCTCTATATAAACTTTTAAGATTCTGGTGGTTGGGTGCAGAGATCTACTCATCTTGTAGC